CCATCATCACGGAAACCTTTATTATTTTTTTTAATTCACGCGTTTTAATGTCACATTTATAATTATCTTGGTAGCCGTGCTTACAAACTGCCGAAAGTATCGCGCATTGATTGATTGAGCTTCCACTGACGAAATTTAAATCTCAGATCAAGAATACTCTTATGAATAAGGGCTATTATAAAGTTGATGATTATCTAAATGATCATAATGTGTTTCTTGTAATTTGTTATTTTATGGGTATTAGTCATTTTTCATTACAGTAATATAGTACCTACCTAATGCCTCTTCCTATATACTAATATAAAGCTAGCTATAAAATTCATTGTTACTATAAATTTATATTCTAAATGATGTAATGGAAGGTGACTTCAGACATATCTCAGAACACATTTTTCAACTTGACGACTCTTTTATAACAATACAGTCCTGCGCAGACACCTCTTCCACGGTTTTCTCAAACGCTAGTGCTTCTTCCGGCGGTGAAAACTGTATCCCTTTGAGCGGATTTTTAATTTTAGGGAATAAAAAGAGGTCACACGGCACCAAATCAGGACAGTAAGGAGGGTTTCTCAAGACTCTGGCTAGTGTGGAGTCCAGGAAATCCTTCGTTTTGATTGCAGAGTGCGCGGGCGCGTTGTCGTGGTGAAGAAGGACCCCACGGAGCCCGGTGTTAGGTCGCTTGTTACTCATTGCAGAAAAAACTTCTGGCAGGCATTTTGTGCTATACTATTCGGCGTTGATGCTGCTTTGGTTTCGAAGTGGAATTGAAATTAGGTACCCCGTTAAAGTGAAGAAACTAGCAATCAAAATTTTCTCTGCGCTCCTCAATCGCTTCACTTTCGTGGGCGTTGGTTCGTTTTGAAACAGCCAAACTGTCGACTGATGCTTTGTTTCTGGATCGTATTGATAAATCCAGAATTCATCACCAGTCACAATACCGTCAACACGCCGTGACGAGCCTGCGTCCAATTTTTGTATCATATCACTGCACCAATCCACACGGGCCTGCTTCTGAGCTTCGGTGAGGTTGTGCGGCACCCAGCGGGAAACTATCCTCCTTACGCAAAGGTGCTCGTGCAAAATCTTGTGAACACTTCCTGAACCAATCTGCAGAGTATGCTGAATCTCTTCGTACGTAATTCGTCTGTTTTCTTGAATAAATTTTTTTACTACCACCACACTTTCTTCGGTGACAGCCGTCGTAGGACGACCACTCCTTTGTTTATCCCTCAAAGTAAGACGACCGCGTTTGAACTCGGTACACCAGCGGTAGATGGTTGCTTTTGAAGGTCCTTCATCCATAAAAGCAGCAAAACGAAAAAGATCAAATGACTCATCAGGTTTTAAGCCACATTTAAAATTGTAAAAAATCATAGCACGAAAATGTTCTCGATGCATCTATTTTTTAATGAGATAAGAAAAATTTAATTGGCGCTCGAAAAAACGCGGAGGGAAATTTAAAAATTGAATAGTGTTATTTATATTTTGAAATAATCGAAGTTTTCAAAATAATTAGCAGTGTCTTATACATAAAAATGGGTGCGTGTACTTATGTAGGCGCGTGAGAAGTTATCCTTCTTTGGCATCGTTTAAAATTAGTTTTCAATTGCATGCAAATAATTAATTACAATAAATTAATAAAAAGTCTGGAAAAGGACACAGTCAATAAAGTTCAGTTTTAATTTGAAAAAATAAATATATAATCAAAATATTCAATTAAAATCGCTACTGAATATAATTTATTAGAACATATGTGATTTGCACTTGTATGAAACTCAAACACGTATTCCGAATATACAAACTAGAAACATGTGGATAAATATTATAAATATGAATACCTATAACTGTTACTTTATTACAAAAAATAAAGATGTGGTTTTTGGTTCTACTACACCAATGGTCAAGAGATGGCGCTGTAGTCTCCTGAATCGCGCTTTGGTTCCGTTGTTCCAGATTAATAAATACTTTTGATAGGCCTTCACAATGCTGTCGTTAGCACCCACTAAATAGAGATTCTATTTCTATTTTGTTGGTAGATTTTCTTAATGTGCGGTAAACACAAAAGTAACGCATGAAGTTGGTCGCTTTAGCGACAGCTTTTCATGCTGTTAAAATTTTGTGTTACAGTGATGCGCGCGCATCTTAAAATTTCACTCTCATAATTTTTTCATAACGCGCCTAAAGAAGTATAACTTCAAAAACTTTTTTTCGTAACGCTCGTGACGCTTTTCCGTTTCATCTTTCCAAAGGTTTTTTTTTCATTTGCACCCTGTCCGAAAAGAAGTTTCACTTTAAAAAAAAATGTAATATATCAGCAGCGAATCCTAAACAACCTTAAAGTAACGGCTGCTTAAACAATAGAATATTTATATAGAAGTTCAAGGGAAACGTTTCGTTGCTTTTGACATGTTACATGGCATTACTTTCGTCCTTCGTGGATTTCATTGGTACATCTGACTTTTGGATTAATGTTTTCGAAATTCTTAGTCTGTAGTTAATAAAGAATATTCTCGTAACACGTATTCACGAAACTTGCCATATTATCAAGCCATATTTAAAAATCCTTAAGAACAGTCATAATCATAATTCCCATTTGCGGTATTCGAACCCGTGATACACGATTTCGTTCGCTAATTTAAAAGCTAATCATTTTGTTTCGTTCTCCATATTTGTCTTTAAACAATTCTATATTCGATCGATTAAGCCCTAATTAAACTAAGATTTTTCTTGTTAGTAGGCCTCACAATATATTGTCAATTGGCTCTGTAGCTTATATGTAGTATTGTCAATCAGCTTATTCACACTGGTCCCACTTCGGACCAGTGTGAATGGTCCCAAGTGGGACCAGTGTGAATAAGCTGTTGCAGATGTAAAACAGTCATAATTGAGAACAGTCTTTGTGAAAGAATTACATATACCATTTGGCAGATAATTAGATGTAACTGCGGCGACCTGGGGCCTTTTTCTGTTGACATAATAGAGGAACTGTAGATGTAAGTATTATAGACAGTTACTGTTATTATGTTGATTTTGGGGCAAAATAAATTTACTTTAGTCACCCGAGAAAAAAGAAGAGATAAATATAGCGACTTAAGCGTTTTTATGTTTACCGACAACATAAAAGCTTGCCTCGTAAACACGGAACCTGTAAAGGGCGCAAAACGTAAGGAATAAAGTTAAAAAAAAAAGAAAAAAACGTGCTTTATATATCTTTAAAAATGATTTTATTTAGTGACAGAAGGGCGCGTAAAAATTATATAAAAAATAAAAATTGTGTGTGTCAGCTCCGACGCACGACCGGACTTTACACTCTAAAAACGATTGTCTTTGAACAGACACAAAACAAAATCAAGTCCGAAGAAGTCGGTTACAAGTAGAGATACCTCAGGAATCGTCCCATGGTTTCGACTATCATAGGTTCCATGTCACACATTTTATCATCTAACATCAGCGATATTCATCATATATTTTATTATGTATTTCTGGAAACACACAATTTCAAAAATATCACACACTAGTCATCATTTTGTAAATATGTATTATAATTCCATCTGTACTGAAAATCATTATTCCAGAGTGCTGGACACTTACCGGCATTTCTCTATATTCTGTTATTTATTTGTTTTCATTAATTTTGCTCCGATTTTATCTATTTTTAGTTTATTTATTTTATTGACATTTGTGACAACTTAATGTTTTTTATCCGTTGCCATGGCTAAAAGTGAAAGGGAAAGATGAGGTTGCGCACAAAAACGTCATTGGTCATGGTCATTAATGTCATTCATCGATAGATTTTACTCCTCACATTTTTCTCATACCGGGCCCTTTATATATGCAAATCGATTCTTAAGGAGTAAACTCCAAAAATATTTAAAAGAATATGAACTAGGCTTTTACTATTTTAAAATATTTCCAACGTTTAAAATCCTTCACAGGTTCCGTGTTAAAAAAATCACGTGAACACGAAACCTGTAAAGGATCCGAAACGCCGGGAATATGTTAAAGTATTAAAATCACGGTTCGAGCCCATTTGAAAAAGTGTTTTATTTAAACAAAAAAAAAATACGAATAACAAAAATAGTTATAATAGACAAACACTCGCTCTACGAAAAGTTAATAATAGTATAGAAGAAGCAGTACTTCATATATTTAAATCAATCTGTGGCGTAAATAAAAAGCAAAATTAAATTAACTTAAATCCTTGTTTCTATTTATTGATTAACTAACCTACTGTCGAAACTATTGTAAATTTGAAGTTTCTTCAATACATGTCAGTACTTCAGTACATTTAGGCCTTAGTTATTGAATGGAGCTGCCTCGCCATACCTTATCTTTGTGTTATACTTGCTATTATGTATTGTATGCTGTTCTTGTGTTTTGCATACTAAGAGAACGCTATACAAGGAGATAGTACAGGTAGATAATATTGGTTCGACGTTTACATTTCCTAGACACAGATTACGGCTTAATTTATTTTGTAAAACTTTAGAACTTTTTCTTGTATTGCTTCTACGAGTCTAATATAGGTTATCACCTGATATTTTGTTGTAGTTGTCTTCTAATCAATTTTAAGTTTACGATATTGTACTAATTAGTTAAAATTTTCTTGTTATTCGATGAGATTTAACTTTTATTAATAATAAACCGACAAAGCTTTATGATTGGTAGAAGACGCAGAAGGGAAGATTAAAAACTATTTTTCTGTGATAGAAAATGATGCCTTATAGGTAAAATTAAAACAACCTTATTTGAATAAGAATTAAAGTACTACACTATTCTGTTCGATGCTTACTTATTTTTTTTATTGTCTGCGCTACATAGTCTTTTCTAGTTTATTGTTAGATACTAACCACATCATTCGCGCGGATGCGGGGCGGGGCAGCTCGCTATCCTGTAAGGGAAATGTAAGTTGAACAAGTCATAAGCGTAGAGCGTGTTTGGACTACAGTTTGAGAAAATTGCGACAATTTTAATGGAATACTGATATGTTTCTTACACGTTAAACAATGCGTACGTTACTAACGCCGCTGCTAACTTGGGTTAATTTCACAAAATTTGCAAAAAGTTATATTATTCTTCAGATTTCTAATAAATAACGGTACGTTGATAACTTATAATTAGAAATGAAAGCAAAAAGTTAATGTGGAAAACGGGTTTTAAAAAATATTGATTGCCGTTTTTTATTGCAAATATTTATTAAATATTTTTGTTGAGTATAGTATCATAGTACTTATAATTTGGTTACAAACTTAAGTGAATTAACATTTTATTGAAAAATTATAATTATTGAAAAATATTATGTTTGCGTCAAATGTGGATGGAAAAAAATAAATAAAAAGACTACAATGCAATAGATCCGCCCACTTAGGGTCTGTAGCAAAAATATATGTTTATGGTTCAGCAATTAATTCAATAACACACGAAATGATGGTTAATATCAGCGTTAACCTTTAATAACTTTTTGCTCAATGTAACATTTATTTTTAGTTAGGGACCAACAAAACTTAAAATGCTCGGTGAGCCGATAGATGTATCCGGAAGTGTACATATAGAATTGTAAACATTTATCATTTAGATTGTTGAAGGCGTTTCGAACTGCCTTTTTCAAAGTTGCATAAAAGAAAAATAGACATTTACTGTAATCGCTGTCGCTTCTCTCTTGGATCGCATATCGCCCAAACAGTTCACAATACGAGCAAGGTGAAGCAACGAGTTGAAAGGGCAGCCCTGTTCGATATAAGAGAAGCACATCCTTGCGATCCGTACAACCACTCCGGCATCAGACCAAACACCAGCTTACCGCACATCTCTCGATATGTCTTCAGTGGTAAGTTTCAGATTTGGAAGTCAGACATTAGACACTTTTATCAAAAATAAATTTAGCTTACAGTACAGTGTAGAATAAGTATTGATACGCTCTTATCTTCTCTTTAAATAGAAGATAATGTTATCTGAAATACTTGACATGGCATATTTTAATTCACGAAATATACAATAAACAATTGTATTTAATCTCACGCTTCGTTCAGAAAAAATAAATAAATCATATAATCATTTCGGTTTTTAAGTGGCTAAATTTCGATTAAGACTTCTGAGTCAAGATGATATGATATGTAACGAATTATATTTTATATATTTTTGGAGACCGTAATATATTACTTACCTATTTGAAAATAACAAACGTATCCGTGACTTATAGTTGTTAAAAAAGAAGACTACATATAATTACTAAATACTAAAATGAATTCCTTAAAATCAAGAGATAATTTAACTCAAAAAGAAATTGTGTAGTTTTTTTATTCATGAAATGAGATTTAGTTATTTATTTCTCCTCAAACGCGTTACAGTTTCTTCTAATCTCCGCTGTTCTGGTGACGCTAGCGTCAAGTGCGCGGCTCGACCACCTCACCGGCTTCGGTGGCGGCGGCGGCTTCAGCGGTGCCGGAGCATACAGCGGCCCTCCAGCACATTTCGAGAACGTCAACAACGGAGACGGCACTTATCGATTCAGGTTTGTTAATTGAATTCCCTTCATCTGACCAGATATTATATAATAACCTGGTATATGGACGTACACGTGTCTAAGGACAGTGTAGATAAAAAAATCACCTTGCGTTACGCGCGCTCCAATTTCTCGCTTCAACAAGATTTGAGACGAACTTCTAATGATATGGCAGTTTTCAAAAGGCGGTTAAACCGTTTCCTTCAAAGCATGAGCAGCAACGCATGAGTACCCTTGGTGCTTCAAGTGTCCATGGATGGCGGTGACCACTTACCATCAGTTAGACTGCCATCACATAAAAAAATGGAAGACAATAAACTATTGTGAAACTCACAAACACAGTGCAAGCAGTTCAGGAAAGATTGGGCATAAGACAGGATTAAACTACTTACTATGATAGAATGTAAAAAAATCGGGCGTGAATGGAAACTGTTTTTTTAAGATAGCAATCCCGAACGCTACAATTTGAGTACCCGACCTTTCTTTATCCTAAAAATGATTTTTTATATATATTACTAAACTATACTTATTTCTTCTATATTATTTCTTATTTCCATTATGTGTGTACCCGGTCAGTTGTAACAAACATCGGTATAAGTAAAACTTACAAAAATAATACAAAGGCTGGGGTTATATCTTTTATTGGATATTCTTAGGATGAAGGTCGCATAAAAGTTATTGGAATGGAAACACTTTCAGTGTTATAAGAAGAATTGATTGATGGACAAATATAATGTAGTTTTAAGTACAGACCTTTGGCCGTCAAACGAACATGAATAATATAAGTAATAGGTGCCGCACCCCCAATCATAATATTAAATGAGACTGCGAAATCTCTGCTTGTTTGTTGGTTTGAACTTTCCACCCACTAGATAAGTGGTTAGTAGCAGACGTTTGATTTACGGTTTAATAAACCTGAACTTCTTATAACTTATCAAGCCGTTTGTGAGAAGGTACTAATTATCAACAATACTTTTTTGTTTTAATTAGAATGTTGCGAAAATAATTAGGCAACCGTATTTGGATAGGAGTTCGCTTTCGGGCAAGTTATAATTTTCCGAGTAGGTAACTCATGGAAATGAGTTTTTCAGATTATATCGGGATGGGCATGGAGATTAATAACGTTTTTAGACTTTATTCATTCGCCTTATAGCAAGCGACCAGCATGGTCTGGTATATATTTCACAAAGTTAGAGAGTGCCTACTATTCGCACATTGTGTAGTCTGACCCCATCTCCCATCTCCTGTTCTGCCCATGCACTACTGGCAAATAAACATTGTCTACTAAACTGATCCCATCTCCTTTCCCGTGAAACTCCGGGTACATTTATTTTACACATGCAAAATTACCTTACCTTACCCTGATGATGTTAATTGTATGGGGTCCAGTCACTATTACAGCTGAAGGGGAAGAAAAGTGTGCTACTCCAGTCATCATTACCGTACGTGCTATGTACTCGTATCTCTTTAAATCGTGTAACAACCTAAAGTTAATCTGTCAATTTAATAGTTATATTTTAGTTTTCTCTCGCTTTGACGCAAATCTTCAGTCTGTCCATATATAAGTGCATTTTTTTTATCTAAAAAGGGTGATATACAAGTATATGGCCCCACTGATGGTAAGCGGCACTATAGCTTATATACAGTTGCGATATCAAAAATATCACTCGCGCCTTTGCCTACCCTGATCCAATCCCCTATCTCGTGGAGCCCCGGGACCTTACCTACTCACCGACAGAAACATATCACCACCAAAAGGTCGTGTTATTTTACTGTGGTCTTCTGTAAGGTGAAGGTTACTTTCCCAGAAGGGCGCTCCAATTTGAGCGGAAAATCCGCTATGCCCTATCAGTCATAAATACGAAAGACCTTTAGCACCATTGTCTAATGTTGATTCGCACAGGCAAATCGTGTAGCAATTTGTGAGCGTTTTATTAAACCTGCGGTATAGGCGTGTCTGCAAACCTTTGCTGGTATTTTACATTAATAAAACCGCATGCTAGGCTATAACTTTTGATTGCAGACTGAATTCGTTGTATGGTATTAGGCTCATGAGAGTGATTATGTTGCATTCTCATACCACCAAGCGTTATTTTTAAAAGGAATGTTAAACGTAGAGAACTTTTGTTTTTCTGTTTTGTCTGAGTTAGCTTTATATTTGTGAAGGTACTATTTGGTTGTAAGTTTACATGCGTGTTTAATAACTACTGTATGTTCAATTACATAAATTATAAAGTAATTTTTTACCTGAGTAACAGACACCCGACCTGATGATAAGTGGTGGTTAAGCGGTCATGTACGACCATGAACATCAGCAATGCCATTGACACAGCCATGCCGCTGTCTTTCGTGGAACTCTCTTAGTTCTAAATACTTACCTAGTAAGTTATTAATGCTACTTTTTTATTCCAGCTATGACACTCCTACTGGTATATCAGCGCATGAGAGTGGGTCGCCACGCGCGTCGGGTCCTGAGGGTCCCGCGGTGACGGCGGAGGGCGGGTTCTCGTACCGCGCACCCGACGGTCAGCAGATCTCCCTCTCCTACACCGCTGACGAGAACGGCTTCCACCCCACCGGCTCGCACATCCCCACGCCCCCGCCCATCCCAGAGGCGATCCTGCGCTCTCTGGAGTACAACAGGCAGCATCCATCGTCGTAAGTGAATTAAACTGACTGAGTGCGATTTTTAACTTGATCCCCAGGTCTACATAGTTCTTACTTCGGAGTAATTTTAGTATGCTAGGGTTTCAATGAAATACAACTCCTGAAATACAATTTGACGTGTCATACGATCTTGACTTAGAAAACGCAAACTCAGCGATTTCATATGCTTGCTTCCACTGAAAAGGAAATGAGCTGAAAAAAGTTGAAGCTGTGTAAAATATTTTTTTTCTATAACTCGGAAAACTAGCACAGTTTTAGCACTTTACTCTCTATTTAATTAGTATTAATAATTAAGCATTTGTATTAATTTGAATTGTTACCAGTTGAATGAAGTTCGTAATGGGTGAACTATCGGAAAGAACTTTAGCCCCCTTATTAATTAAAAAAGAATAAGTTTGGATTAGTAACTCTATGTTTTGAATAGCTGTTCATTCAATTACAAATGGCTCTTGAGTGAATGAACATAATAATTCTAAGATTATTCCTCGTTCATTTATTAATAAGGGGTTAAAGGTGAAGTTATTTCAATGTTGCCACATACAGAAGTGGTGCGATGTTGTTGTTAAAACTGAATTATAGCCTCTTAAATCCTATTATGAAGCTGCCTCAGATATCTATTTACCATCAAATATGGTGTATCGGTTTTTGATAATCTGTTGATTATAAACATTTTACGATCTAAAGAAAATTTTGATTGGATAAAATAAATTTTTATCGGTCCAGGTTTCAAACAGGATTCGAATTTTTCTTCCATTTCAGATAGATTTCTAATTCTTCCTCAATTCGGGTGAATTTTTATGATCACCAGACTATTGATGAAAAAAGTTAGAATGGGCTGTGGCCCATCATACGCGTTGTGACGCACCACGCAGATCGGTGGTTGCTAATTACTGATGATCACAGAGGAAGCCAGGATCAACGCTTTTACATGTCTTCCACAGCATAACACATTTTCGTTCCCTCAATCCGGTGACCGGCTATTGCGAAAGTTGCTTATAGCCTACTAAGCACTGTTGCAAAACAAAACAATGTATTTTTTAGGGTTCCGTACCTGGAAAGGAAAAAACGGAACCCTTATATGATCACTTTGTTGTCCATCAGTCCGTCCGTCTGTCAAGACCCTTTTACTCAGGAACGCTTGGAGGTATCAAGCTGAAATTTATATCAAATACTCAGGTCTGCTGTCCCTTGGAGCTGTGAAAAAATCAAACTTCTACGCTTACGCAATCAAAAGATACAGCCGTTTACGCCGCAAATTTTCGAAACTCGCAAAGGAATTAAAACCTACAGGGTACTTCCCGTGAACTCAAAATCTTGAAATTTGGTACGAAGCAAAGTCTTATATAGAGCCCGACTCGCACTTGGCCGGTTTTTTTTATTTATTATTTTAATTGTAGCTGGTATCCAATATGTGTATTCATCTATCATTAATATTCTTTTTATAAATTCTAACCTTTCTCTCATTTTCAGAGACAACGGAGCTTATAACGCCGGACGAAACTACCGATATTGATCACAATACTCGAAAATTGTACAAAGCATACCTCAAAGCCATGGACTGTGATATCGTCGCGAACGTTATTATTAATTTATTAAACGTAAATATATTTATATAGCTTAATAAATGTGCTGCTTACTTTTCGTGATCCGGTTTTCTTTAGTGAAACTAAAGTGTGCACAAAAAATAATAAAAAAAAATAAGAACTAACGAAAATAGTGAGTTTTATTTTCATACATAATTGTAGCCCTTTTTTCTTGTCCAACATCATCAATATTTTGCCAAAGAAAAACAGAATGGTCCAGTTCCTTAAGTTTTTGAGCAGAGTAATAGTCTACCCTCAGCCTTTTTAAAAATTCAACACGGCCATAGTATCATCAGTCTGGAAACTTTGTAGTAAAATTATTTAGACTGATGCGAACAATAAAAGATAAACCTAGAGCCTCGGTATAGGCAACACCATGAAAATCGGCGTACATACTATTCACATATTTTGTGCTTTTCGAAAAAAAAATATCTTACTGCCTGGGGGTTCCTCCATTCTGTAAAACAAGGGTTAAAAAAGGATGAGTGTTTTGAGAAATCAAGTAAACGTGTTAAACGGGGATTTATAGTTTGTAAGTTCTGGTACAGCAGTTCCCTACCTACTCCCGTGGGAGATCTACGTTTTTCAAATAATTAATTACATGACTGACCATTGATGTATATGAAGCGGCTGCAACAATATCTGTAATGTAAGAAATTTTATTTTGATAATATTATAGATTTCTGCGAGCACCATTCTAAGACAAATGTTTTAATTATTAACACCAGCTTTATACTTTAAACCTAATTCCAATATTATTCTATATGTTTAAATATTTCCAGATGCCTTATAAGTATTTTAAAATAAACTGCATCTTATAAAGATGCGCAATGCTAATATATTATTAGTATTGTAAACACAATGTCCTTCCTACCAATCGTATGCAAACACCACGAGTTACCAGATATTTCTGAACAATAGTATGAGAGTAATACAACAATACGTTAGGTAATCTTGAATAAAACGCCGGGAATCGACATCTCAATCCAGTGGAGCCTCCATTGTGCTTTCACAAAGGCACTATTGCTTTACTAAATGTCGGCCTTCATTTTTGTAATCGTCATGTTTGATTTGTTATTAATATTAGTGTTAGCTGGATTTATTAAGTAAAAATCTTATAAACTTACTTGCAGCCGTCAGATACGGCGTCTGCCTATGTACCTTCTTTCAAAACTGTTTAATTTTTTTTTAAGTATGTAACTGCTTGATGTTTAAATCTAAAAAAAATATAACTAGAAAAAAATCCATGCCTGCCCTTGTCTGATCCGCGTGATTTTTTTCTAGTTATATGTTTAATTTTTTCAAATTATGTATCAATTTTCATGTACTCAATTTTATGAAGTAGGTAAATGGGTTCTTTCATGGACAAACAATATGATAATGGTTCTACATATAAAATTTCATATCATATTTTGTTCCCATTAAATGTTATTGTCCTGACAAGATTTTTGTGTTGATGATTATAAACTATGATTAATAAAATATTAATATATTTTTTTTGAATAGAAGCACTTAACTGCTAGATGTAAAGAAAATATTTCTACCTACTACTAATCCAAAGAATATATTACAGGTTCGAATCCCGTCTGAAATTTGGACCGAGTGGATTTTTTTGTATTATGTTTTGACCTTAATCTACTTATATTTATATTTACTTCGCGGTTTTTAGTGCGAAAAGTAAGTAGAAACAGAATAAGGTACTCATAATAACTCAGTCTGTATTTATTCATGCTTTTAGGTTAGGCTTGACAAGGAACCCTTATAGTGTCTTCACGTCCGTCTGTCTGTCCGTCCCCGGTTTTACTTGGAGACTGTTAGCACTAGAGAGCTGTAGTTTTGTGAAGATATGTATATCAATCACGCCGACAAAATGGTAGAATATTCAATTAACATTTTAATACTATGAAAAAAACTCAACACTCCTAAGACCAGGATGATGGTGTCTTCTGCCCAAAGAATCGAAGAGTCAAATCTTTCTTACCTTATAATGTTATTTATGCAGAGGGGGGACAGTTTCATAGAAATGACATTAATGTTAAGATAGCAGCGCCACTAGGGCATCGCCCCGAAACTAAAACTACAGAGTTGCTAGTATTATAAATAGTATTTTTTTTTACTGGTAACTTGTAATATCAGTCAGCATCACTGACATCTTGTTTGACATTACTAAAATTGCGGTTAATTGCGTATGCGCTTTGCATTTGTGATTTGTCGTTAAATTTTGGTATTCAAACGCAGTAATTACGTTGAGTCGAGCTTTGTGTTCCTCCGTGATATTGTTGTGAGTTTTGTTTTAGTGGTTTTCTATTAAGATCGCGATAGGACGCTCCCTTTGCGAAATAGACGCTTTTGTATAGTGATAAACATTGTGTGTTGTGAAACATCTAATATCATAGCAACAATGCCCAGACGTTGTGCTTTTGGCTGCCCTCCTAGCGGTAAGTACTTTATTTATACCCATATTTAATCAAAATGTACAAAAAGCCACGTAAAGCAACTTATGGGTAGATGATAACAAATACATATTTTTGTTGCAAAGTGATCTTAATTGTTAAGGACACTATTACTTTTGTTGAGAGAAAAGACATTGTAAATTTGTCAAAAGAATTTGTCATAGAATTTAGTGTATCATATAAAATACTGCTATCGAAACTATATAACTCAGGAATCCGTGGCCCAGCCTTCTCTTGGTTCAAATCATATCTTTAAAACAGAAAACAAATAGTCCAAATCGAACACTATAGCAACAAAATGTGTGGATGTATTCTTTTTTTGATATACATAAATGATCTACCAAAAATATTTGATAGGAGCTAAAATTTCAGAAGGGAACTGATCCAAATGCGCTAATAGAAAAAACTTTAGACACTGTTACAACTTGGCTCGAGAACCAAAATTTAAAGATAAACTATAAGAAAACGAAAGCTATTCAATCCAGAACATATAAAACCCCACCATTAAATGTTACAGTTGTTTACAAAAATATAAATATCGAATTAGTAGATACATTTAAATTACTTGGTATAACTATAGATAGTAATTTAAACTGGAAAAGTCATATTGATTATGTTGAAACTAAATTATCCAAATTTATATTGACACTCTTTGAAATTAAACAGAGTACTAACTTAGAAACAGCTCTATCTACATATTATGCATATGCCTATTTCTGGTTGTGGTACTGCTCTATACTGTGGGTTAATAGTGTGAATTCACATGATCTCTTTGTTATGCAGAAGAATTGTATTCGTATCCTTGCACAAATAGACAATACAGTGAGCTGCAAACCTTTCTTTAAAAAATATAAAATACTTAATCTTCCAAGCATATACATACACAACATATGTGGTTTTGTATTTAAAAATTGTAACGCATTTAATAAAGTTAGCCAAACCCATAATATCAATACCCGCCATAAAAATAGATAAAATCATCCCCCATCAAGACTTGCTTAGCAATAGCCCCTACTACATGGCAGTTAAGATATTTAATAAATTACCACATTCTATAAAAAACGAAAAATTATTTAGCACATTTAATACAAAACTTAAAAAATTTCTAGTTGATAAATGCTTCTATTCTGTGGATGAATATTTAAATTTCAAATAGATAATAATTTAATATATGAACGCACAAAGTTTGAAAGAAAATATATTTATTAGATAAATGCTTTTAAATATACTTTTTAATATATATAAATGAACACTTTACAACAATATGAGGCGATAATATACTAATGCGGCGATTTTTTTAAAATATAAACCTAGTATATAATAATCATGTTAATTGACATATTATTTTATTTTTATTGACATATTTATTAATTATAATTACTGACAAATTTAATTTAATTTTATAAATTAATTTCCATTTCTATTTTATTTCTACTGTTAATAAGATCAATTGAGCAAGTTATATTGTTAAACTAATGGAATCAGATGACATTTATGCATAATTTGAGATATAAGTGGTTTAATACAAATTAGGTTCCTTATATACATAATTGTTTATTAATTAAATTCTTTTGTAATTTTTATCTTTAACTGTACTGTATATCGCGATACCCTGACAGGGTTAATGTTAGGTACTATAAGCATTTTGTAACCTTCGATGTAACCACATGAGTGCAATAAATTGAATTGAATCTCTTTCTGTCTTTATCTATTAATTTTATTGACTGAAACAAAGAAACTGTATTTATTAAAACCATTACAATTGCTTGCATGAGAAAACGTTAGATAGGATAATTTGTTATATGTATGTAATACAGTCGGTAGGGAATGTTAGCACCTACTTTATTCCAAATCATCAGATAAAATATTTTGTTTTGAGCTCATTCTGTCTCCTTAATAATATGGTAACATGTGTGCTTTTAAATAGTAATTTGTGAATTTTTATTACAGGAGCCAGGATGCATTGTTTTCCAGACCCAGAGAAATATCCTGATCGGTTTCGTACTTGGGTTCATCTTGCTGGAGGAAAGTTGGAAACTACATCTGATTTTGAATATTACCGATCAAAAAAGAGAGTCTGTGACTTACATTTTACTGAAGAGGATAAAAATCGTTATAACAGATTAAATGCATTAGCTGTGCCTTCTGTTTGTATTCCAAGTAAGTTCATCAGAAATATATATATTATAACCATTCTATTTGCCATTTTGTCAAGTTTACATATTATTAAAATAAACATTCAAAGTGGAAGTATAAACCAATTCTCAAATTAATTGTTAATTTGTTTAACTACCATTTCTTCAGAACTTGTCTAAACTGTGGCCAAGAACTGGAGGAAGAAACTACATAACATTAAAGAAATAGTGATAATATACTGGACCGAAAATAAACCGGGCTTGATTTTCTCAAAAAGTATAAAACTTAAGTTATACCTACAGAAAGTGTATTTCATGATGATTAAGAAAAGAAGAACATTGTTATTGAGATTTGTCAAATTGTTAGTTTATAAAGAATTTTCCAAAGAAGTAATTTTCCAATTGTGTTAATCAGTAGTACACATAGGAAAAAACACCACATCTAAGAAATTTATGGATAAAAACTAAAAAACTTCTAAGAAGTGTATATTCATTTTATAAAAAAGAATAGTAATCACAACTTATTCAAAAATTTGCAAATTG